CACAGTGGGTGTGAATGTCAGTCATCAGGGCCCGTCGTGACAGGACAGTGCGATGAATCGGTGAAGGTGTGTGCGTGCGTGTGTGTACACAAGTGTCAGAGTCAGTCGATCATGGGGACGGGTCGATGAGACGGGTGAGACCGTCAGAGGTCAACGTAATGGGGCAAACATACTAATGGTGCATGCGTATGTGTAAACGGCGTGGAGGCACGGATCAATGAGGGGATGAAATCAAGGTTACACGGTCAAAGGGAANGTGAAGGTGTGTGCGTGCGTGTGTGTACACAAGTGTCAGAGTCAGTCGATCATGGGGACGGGTCGATGAGACGGGTGAGACCGACAGGGGTCAACGTAATGGGGCAAACATACTAATAGTGCGTGTGTGTGTAACGGCGTGGAGAGCGGCACGGATCAGTGAGGGGATGAAATCAACAATACACGGAAGATAGTAGACAACAGGATAGTGGTGCTGGGTGTGTGTGCGTGTGTGCATGTGAAGAGTGCCAATATGGGGAAGAATTTATTCTACAAGTAGTGTCCCGGATTGAAGTCCCAAAGATTCCGATGGCTTTTCTTTGGTGACACTGCGAAGTATATTAAAATGATGAATCGAAGTCAGCGGTAACAGACTACTGCACTGCAACGTGCTTACAATCCAAACTATAAAACCAGACAGGAACTGAAAGATCGAACATTCCTGGCGGCAAATCCCTATCCCTAACCGATAACGGTCTGTTGGAATTAGTCCATTTTGATCGAGTGTATTCAGTGCGAGGTATTCAGCAAGGTAATAGGTCAAATGTGTTCGCAAATAAGTGCAAACATTCCTAAGGCAAGCGATACCCAATTCTTTTCAATTTGCACCGATATCAGATGCAACTTTTAAAGGTAGATACATTAGGCCACATTTTAGAATGTGTCAAAGTAATTTCGGTTTCATGACGTTTTACACGGAGGTTTCACATTCCATTCACTTCAAACGTGAGATTCTTTATTCTTCGAGCATAGAAATAGGGGACAAAGTGAGCAAAAAGAAAACCGCACCAAGTCACATGGCACTGACACTATATAATGTAGACGTACAGTAAATTAAAATGGTCTTTCATCGTGGAACAGCAAGTCAAAAAATATATTACCGGTGCATCATCAACTGGAAGACCTCGACATACTCAGAACAAGAAAAGTGGATGTACCAGTATTACCACAACTGGTTTCAAGTTATCAAGCAATCTCTGATGGGCGTGTGCAATTTTTTATATTTTATATTGTATCTTCCGTAGTTAAAAATTAAAATATCCCGTCAGCCTTTCAGAGTTTGACTATTTTGGGGTCTTGGAGATACTAGTGTAATTACCGTTTGCCCCTGGGTCTATGATAATCTATACCACCTCAAGGCTATTTGATTTATATAGGTAAATATCACGTCGCTCAGAAGGAATATGTCTGAGTCCCTGTATCAGGATATTACTTGCTCATTCGTCTATATATCCGAGAAATCTTTGATTGATGCGTTCCCCTTCATTCAAACTGGTTGTGAAGTCTTTCGTTCAATAAAACGAAGTAAAAGCCTGTTATTCATAGAAAATGTCACATTCGATGAACTCCGGTATTCTACCAAAAGAAGTTCAACACTTCATAATCAGAAAATGCCGCATCCATCGAGGTGACAGGTGTCACAAATAACAACCCAACTGAATGAGATCAAGTTGTATAGCCAGACAAGATATGACTATCCACAAAATATGCCTCGTGACTGATCTTTCTCATAAATAGTTTTTTACAAATCATACATACATCATCATACGTACATACTACACAACCCGGAACTGAGATTAATTTACCCAGTTCAGCCTCACACAGTGCTTCAACATCAGACGAGACCTCACGCAAACGGTATAAGTTTCTGTGCCAATTTCCGTACACGAAAATTCATCCACTGGTTCATAAGTTACTCGATCGAATACGCGTAAATGGATTTCGTGGTAGTAGATACGTAACCAAAGATCGAATTGGAGTTTCACATTGAAATAGCTGGAACAGGGTTCCCAAAGCGGTATCAGCTGACTATGATGAAATTCAAAATAAAGACATTTGGTCGTCCACAATCAGCTTTGATACTGGCAGCCTGACGAGAAGGCATACAGACACGGCCGTGTCTGATTTCAAAATTCAAAATCTCATCGAGACAGAACCCACTTTAGTCCAATGAAACTGGCTAAATCAAGTTAATGGAATCGTTTCACTCCAATTGTGTACACACAGTCGGAACGAGGCTGTTCTGACCATAATTCGTTTTTGTTGCATTGACAAGTGTGTAAACGGAAAGCAATCAATATGTCAGCGATCATCTGCTACCCTGCGGCACCATTGCAGTGGTGAGCAGCATAAGTCTGATGGCTAAGCGTGCCTCCCTCCGGGCTGAGATATCACATCTATCACACGTTTTATCTTATTTTTGGATTGCATTTCTTTTATAAAACGATGGGATTTTGAGTGTTTGATATTAATTCGCCCCTCCAATTCACTTAGCATTAGATGAGTTGTAATAAGCAGTTTGACATGGAGCGGAACGGAGCAACGGTATCGGTTTCTAATATCAGCAACATTTGAGGCCTTTCTACAAAAAGGCTTTTTGTGAGCATAAGGTATCGTATGATCATGTATGCAACTGAAATCCACGATCTTTCGAAATTTAATGTCAGTGACCGATGCATACATTTTTCTATTAAACTGTCTATAGGGTTTTAGCTTCTCGACTGTGCGGCACCGAGCCCGAATGTTCACGATTTGAGCTCACATAAAGACATCAAAACAGTTCGCACTGCTGATGATTTCCAATATCAGTCGACTTTTGACAGCCAAAACTTATGACCAATATAGATAATAAATGGCTTTTTAAGGAGGGTTCGGGTAAACAGGTCTCAGAAGACCTCTTCGATGAGTAATCTATCTCATAGGTCATCTGAACGACGGTTTAAATCACTGACCGATTTGGCAGTAATAACCTAATAGAAAAGGTTTGCTCCGGTTGTTCACAACCTTCACCGGGAGAGCTGTCACTAGCAGTCGAAATTTAACCCTGTCCTTGAACGATTTAAGATATGCAATCTAAGAGATATGGTTTCACTGATCTCAAGTAGCGTGTGACCATAGCCATTACATCTGAGATGTCTTAGAGGATGTTGAATGTCTCCGAGCACCTAATCAGACCATTTTTCATTTGGTTATTCGCTGTTTTACCAAGTCGGTAGTACGCTTGCATTCTATCGGATCGGTTCATCAGTTGGGTGGTTGGATTCGCACTGTGTGTGAGAACCACCCAGATAGAACCAGCTTTTCATTGCTTCCCAGTGTTTTAGTTCACGCTTCATTTGTTCCCCGTGCACGACGAAATATCTCATGTGATCGAATCAACTTGTTCACTGTTTTCAGTATAGACTACTGAAAGCGACCTAGCATAGGTTCTCTTGGAGTAAATCTGGAATCTATTTATCCGTTAAACTTCCTAGACGAAGTCACAGCAAGAATGGATTAGGGGAAGAAAGCAAAAGTTGCTATCTGAAGATTGGTGTAACTTTTGGCTCAGTATGGGGCCGCCTACAAAAATACGCAGACCTGGTGTCTATGAATTTGCATGCAATGATATGAAACATATGTACTGCCTCAAGTTCTATTCTGAAGGTCATTCGATTGAGTTATTATACGGTGTCTCACCAATTTGCTTTCCGTGTCTCGATAAATTCTTCAAGGATTAAAACTTCATTGGGAAAGAACAGATCTGTGCAAGAAGAAAGAATATGTTTTAGACGTCTGGTTCGGTCTGCAGCCCCCACATTTTATTTAAGCTGAGTTAGGTAATTCTTTTACACCTTTTTATTTCAAATCAGGAAATATAACCACAGCATTTGTATACCATCGTTGAAAGCGAAACTAACTCCAGGACCTGCTTTTGATTAATCAATGTGTATCTTTATAAGAACAGGCCTAGAAGAGCCTCAGTCATCAGCCATTGATAGGATTTCGACCATGACTTCTTGTTAATGGTTACGGAAAAGATTTTCGATTTGAATTGAAATGTATAATCAGCCATGTACACAAAATAGCATGCAAAAACATGTGACAACTTTGGTCTTGTGGTTCTTAACGATTTCTGCGAGTCTCCCACCTACTTTCTTTTCTTCTTTTACTACCTTATATTACACAGATAGCAGCGCAGTTCACTTTCAAGAAGGGCGATGTGGACAATAATAAGAATGTTAGAGGATAGACAGAAAAGGGATTCGTGCGGTGATGACATAATTTGAACGCATAACCTTCGATACGATACGCTGGTTGTTTATATCCCTTGATAGTGACCAATTACAAAGCATTCATGAATTTACCATAGTGCATGGAGCACGCATTGGGAATTGATAGGTTCCAACTACAGATCCCGAATGAGATCAGGCCTTTAGATTAAGTCATTTTTGCTTGAATTTAATTCTTATCACGATCATTAACCTGAAAAGGACGTGATTGATTTCCCTCCTCTGGGATATATGCATACATATACAACCATAACCCCAACGAGAATTTACAATAAACACAAAATGCATACTTTTGTATATCCCTTGAAACCGTATTTACGTTTACCGAGTACCTTGTAAATCTATTTTCGTGTACAGTTCGCCAGTGTCAATTATAAGACTTGGTGTGTCTGCTTCGTAAAATAGTATATTATCTACTTGAGGTCCAACAAATTGAATATTGGTTACTACCACACATCAAGTACATATCATTGTCAATCATTTTCTGGAGTTTATCAAAATGTGAATTGAAGTTACTGCCTTGAACAGAAATCTGGTAATCTGGTTCTAATGTGGTCAAATTGTTCTTTTGGTTCTTTCAGCTATGAACCACAGGTGGATAATTTTCAGACCCATGTAATACCCTAGTACGTTTTCGATATTCGAAAAGATAAATAATTCCTTTTGGAAATCTGTTTTTTCTTCAATTTATAGGAGCTTCTCTTGCGGTATGGTTATATCGACTCAGATGAGTCAAACGCAAATCCAATAGATGTGGAAAGTGACCCAAGAAAGTCTAAATGGAGTGCATACGAAGCGCATAACGGGTCGCTAATGGATCCACCTAAGGAATATGTGTCTGGGCTGAAGCAGTTTCAACAGCGGTATGGTCTTCCGGTAACAGGAGAGTTAGATGCTACCACGTCCGCTTTGCTCACAGCTCCCAGATGCGGGAATCCTGACCAGCCAATCTTCAATCGAACACGCATGCCTCAATTTCACGTTCGACAAAGAACACCGGTTGGCGAAGCCAGTGCATCTGAACGCCGGTTACGTCGAACAAAACGGTATTTAATTGGTGATGAAAAAATGAAATGGACAAAGAAGAAACTGACTTGGCAGTGAGTACCGAAACTGTGGGAGTTTTTCCAACTGTGCGTTTTACGGGGTGATAGACTCCTTTTCTGTTATAAACTGACTCTCTAATATCTGCCGGGAGAAGACTGTCCGACCCTGTGATAGCATATTTTAGGACTCGGAATGGTGACCTCAAACAGGTTTTGCGATGGTAGTCACACTTCCAACAAACGAATATATATAAAATGCCACACTGGTGTATTTTGAACAATCAAAGAGCGAGCACGTGTGCGACCATTCTCGTGTTGCGGGAATTCACAGACATTACATTTTGCAAGGTAATGTGTATATGGGTTGGTAAACGACTTTCCTCGGCCCTTTGAGGTTGTGTTCTGACCTTTATAAGTGAATGGGCTACCCGCTATGTTTCACCTATTTGCAAAACTTGCGCTAGTGGATAAACGGAAACGAGTAGAGGTTCTTCAGGAAATGGTTTCAAAAGACCTGTAGGTAAAATTTGATAGCCTTAATTTACATCACAAAAAATTTCTACATATACCCTTTTTGTGACTTGGAACGACGTCATTAAAATACAGCACGTTCCAGTGGGTCTTCAGTGCTATTCTCTGGGGTCGGGCAAAATAGGAAAGAAATTTAAACGAAAATCTCCTTTAGCTCATGGAAATATGTAATGGCCTATGTAATTTTGAGATTCAAAACGTAAACTGAATAGCGTTACAATATTGCTCAAATTATTCAGGAAAACTTGCAATTCAATTAGCAGTTTATCGTCATCTGCGCATTACAGATCAAACAGCCCATCACCTGGGAGCACATGAACGCCCCTGTCCTTTCATGAGAACAGTATCAAATCGGTAATCATAGTGATTACAAAGACAAAGAGAAAGGGAGAAAGGGAGAGAGGGTAACTCCGACTAAAAGCGATTTTCGCAGTAAAATCTGGCGAAAAAACGTTGCAGACTAAAACTCAGCTGCATCTAGTCTTACTAAGTGGATCTCAACGGATGAATGAACATCGGGACAGAGAACAGAAGTCATTGCAGAAGTCCTCCTCCCAAAATTAGTCAGCATGTATAAGGATGCAACGAACAATCAATGGGCGGTGGTAGCAGAGCGGTAACGTCACCAAGTTATCACCTGTGGGGTCATGTATTCGAGTCCCACCATCACTGACAGATTCTCCCCATTTGTGTGCTGTATTGCAGCCCTTTGATTGAATGCTTCCTCCTTCCGCAGAAAATTATATCATTATATATTCAATAAAAAATGGTGTAAATGAAAAATAAGAAAGAAAAAGTAGATACTACATTCTGTTGCCATTTAGCCGCCCTAACTTGTTTGGATAAACAACCCACAGTTTACGTCTGATTGAAATCCAATGAAAAAGCTGGCAATGTTGTGATACAGTTCTAGTGATAAGTGAACAGTTGACTTCAGACAGAGTTTGTAATTAGGCATAGCTTCTGTTTAAAAGAATGGAGTACAAGTGATTGATTTCCGTGATCAGTATCACGAAACGCTGATCATCTCGTGACCGAATATAATCCACAATACCTTGGGGTTTATTCTGTCGTCAACATTTGACCGCCTACTCTTTCAACACCAGAAGTCTCTAATTAAGAATTCATCAAAAGGTTTACTGAAACGGAACATTCACACAGGTTGTGCGGATACGCGCTGACCATTACCTTTTTCTCACTTTTCTTCCTAATTCCATTCTCGTTGTGTCGGATTATTTGTTCAATTTTAATGGCATCACGATATTCATTCATATAAATGGTCGGATCCACAGAACATCTGAACTTAATACGTAATTGTGACCATATTGCTACAATCGATCTAATTGAATGCAGATCACGTGAAACTGAGTTCCGAAGTACCACTGAAGCCACCCATGTATCCGCGTATATTTAAGAAACCGTTCAACCTAAATTCCCCATTCTTGAAATGAGAAGAACAAATTTTTCAGATTGGATTATCGGAAGCGAATAAATGTTTCCGATGCTTTTACATGATCTTGCTTTGCCTTCAACATGTCTTTATTTCTCACGTGATCTAGGATTCGAAACTATCCGTCCCATTCACTCTCCCGAGTTCGCACACACGCTGTGTTCCAGCACACCTTCAACATGTGGTCCAAAGTGGTTGATTTAGATTTTGTCGAGGAGAAGGACTACTCAAAGTCACCGGACATTGAGATCATTTTCGGTGCGGAAAAACACGGCGACTCAATACCTTTTGACGGACCCGGTTAGTTGATGAAATAGCTAAATGCATTTATGCCCATCTAATTATCCACCTACCTATCTACCTGACCTACCCACATACATACATACATACATACATACATACATACATACATACATACATACATACATAACTTTGCTGATCATTCATTTTTCGTGGATGACATTCGTTAATCAAGCCGCTGACTCTCTGAGTTCAACAGCGCTTGTTTCCATCAAGAGTGTCTCTTGCCTCTGAAAAATCGAATGGGCTAATCCAAAGCTTTATACTCTAAATTGATTGAGCCATTCGCACAAGGTGATAACCGTCGACCGTGTAGCTTAAGGGTAAGGGTTTGAAGTCTCAGCCTGAGGAATCGCCGTTCAAGTCCTGAGAGAGACACAAAAAGTACGCACTGCTGACGCGTCCCAAACGGGACGAAACAGCTGTCCAGTGCTCTTTGTTGGTTATCACAAACATTTCCATCGCACTTGGTAATACCCCACATGTTGTTATCAAATCAAATCGCAATTAATTTCCAAGTAGAAGCGAAACTCCAAAATGCACTCTATACAAAACTAAAACATGCGGTCAGTGGTGAAAGAACACTGTATATTGGCGGTTCAATGAGGTCTTAGCTCACTTACAACGAGCCTACTCTAAATCCACCCTAATAGACTACATGCAACATGAACAATAACATCAGAGAAAATGTCTACCGTGAATAATATATCAATTATGACATCCTGAAAGAACTGGAATCAAAACGTTCTCAAGAAGCTTTCAAGAAAAATATTTGTATCTTATTTCATTTAAAGGTGGCGGTCTTTTAGGTCTTGTGAAGAAACATTTTCATTTCCTGCTTTATTCCTCTCGCAAAATATTCCAGGTGGTGTACTAGCCCACGCGTTTTATCCTACTCCTGATGACGTATACTCGTTTGCTGGGGATGCACACTTTGATGACGCCGAGACCTGGAACGATGGACCTCATAAAGGTGAGTTGAAATTGCTGACGTCAATGATGCATCAATGCTTAATTTGCGTGCTTGAATCCAATCTTCATTGCCGAACTATTTGCCTCCTCATTTCTCTAAGTATTTTATGACTATTACAATCTCCTTCAAGGAAAGTGATTGTAGGCGAATATTTTATCAAGTGTATGGAGCTAAAAACAAAGAATATTACTAATATTTTTCACTACGACTAAACAATTTCGGTTCAGCTCATCAACTTTCTTTTGGTGTCGTCGCACAGGTTTACTTCAGCATTTGACGAATCTTTGTACATCATAGTTTTTAAACAGTACCAATTAACTAAAGAAATCATTGAATATGTGATTAGCCTACCGAACACATAGTGAGGTCAAATAAGGTAAACAAGCTCATATTTTCTATTTCCGAATCACACCAATATATATGTATATTTTACGATAAGTAGTATATGAACGACTAGACAACATTTCCCTGGAAGCACACGACGGGTTTTGTGGTTCTTGCCGCTGGTCAAGCATACGTATCCGGCAGTCTCTTGTCTTTCTACAAAACATCTAATCATAGTAATGCACCTTCAGTGGACTGGTCCAAAAAAATTTACCCCGGTGTTGCAAATAAGGTTATTGTGACGAATATATATATATATATATATATACTTATTATCTTTTGACAACGAGTCCTAGTCTGAATCGAAATGTCACAATAAATACTATCACTCAGTGCTCGCCTTCTCCTTTTCAATATATATATATATATATATATATATATATATATATATATATATATNTTTAAGGAAGTGGGGGTGGAGTGTCCTGATACTTCTACGTTTTGCTGGTGTTGCGTAAATATTACATACATGACCTGGAGGTCATTTACTGTATCCTCAATGGTATTCTTCTCTACCTATAGGTCCTTGCCCGCTCAACCAAGCCGTCATATCGCGGTTGCTGTTGCTACAACAGTGACCATTCCAAATGGAAGCACTGAATCGGGAAAAATGTGATGCTAGTCACAGCGGCTCTTCCGTTATTTTTGACTTAAGCCGGATAATATAGTTGTTGTGGCCCCGCTGTGTGGCCCCAGAATTATTGTACTCGTATCGAGTTAGTCGCTAGTCAAGGATGAGTCACAGCAGTTTCGCAGAATGGTGCCCCTGGTTGTGCCAGAACAGATATTTCACAGGAGAAAAAGAACTGAAAGGGAGAGACCACTAATTCGGGTGTTCTATCTTTCAGCCGTAGATGTACTGATTTAATTTATGTGAGAGGAAGCCAGAGTTCGGCTGCGTGGAACGCTTTGTCGATGGTGTCTGACAGAATACCCAAATTCTTTATTAATGGAAGAGAGATGTGGAATACATTTTAAGGGAAAAGCGTTTTCTGTGACAACAGATCAAAAAGCACTAAAGAACTGGCCTTTCCGGGTTGGGGCTCACCAGGATTGAGTACTGTTTGTCTATCCCGAACGGGACTTGAACCGCGAACCTTCCGGTTGACAGTCGAATTGCTTATCCTGGGGGCCATTATCAAGAACGCCCGCCTAAATGAATTGAATATGGTTTTGATAATTCCAAAACAACACCACACAAAGTAAAGTATCATACTTATACGACTCGTGTCATTGCAGCATAAAATCCATTAAGCGCTTCAGGTATCCATTTTTGATAAAGAAATTAGGCCAATGTTGAATTTCATCAACGACGATTTCCTCCAAGCAGATCCTTATTGTTCTGTTAACCCAACCGGTTCCGGTTTCTCCCTACTGACGGTTAACAAAACTAACATCTAAAGTGGAAAAGAAATTACAATGCGAATTTTTTGGGAAAATCAGCTTACTTTCCCGTTTACTCACACTCTCCCATCGGTATATATATATATATATATATATATATTTACCACCGGCTTGAAAACAAGCATGGTGCCA